GGCATCCTCGTAGCGATCCTCCCACCTTAGCCTCCCAAGTAGCCGGGACTACAGGCTTTCACCGCCATGGCCAGCTAATTTTTTATTTTATTTTATTTTTATTTTTTGTAGAGACGGGGCCTCACTGTGTTGCACAGTCTGGTCTTGAACTCCTGGCCTCAAGTGATCCCCCCACCTCTGCCTCCTAAACTGATGGTACCTGTGAATGCCTTTTGATGACAGAGATGATGACTCCTATGCTAAAGATCATCTCTGGTACAAACCATACGTTTGTGCCACATTGTGCAAAATGGGCAGGATCTTCGGTGTGCGGAGTCAGGAAACCTGAATTCAAGTTCAAACTCAACCAAAGACTAGCTATGTAACCCAGGACTATTTACTCTTGCTCCTTGAGCTGGTTAGTTTTTACAACTCCACAAGCTGCTCGCCCTGCAGCTTCCTGACAAAATCGGGATCTATTCGGGGTCCACACTCAGTTATTTCACAGAACTCCATCCCGGCACCTTGAACAGTCTCAGCTTTCAGGGCAAAGGTCTCAAACCTAAAATCTATGCTCAAAAATGCAGGTTGGTAGGCCAGGAAATGTGCAGACCATCTTTTCATAAGAAAAACTCTTAAAAGTTCAAAACGCCAGGTCAATTTTCTCCACACACACTGAGTCACAACCCTTTTGGGTCTTGTCACAGATTTCAGCTGAGGAGACTAACCAAGACTCCTGTGAGTCTGGAACTTCTTTCCCCCTAGCACCCCCTCTCCCCACAGGCTCAGTTCTTCCTTCTAAATGCCTCAGCACTTTCTTTGTGGTTTAAGTTACCACCCTCCTGCTTCCAATAGAGAGTGAAAAGATGATTGATCATCTTGCCTTTAATGACCACAAGAAATATTGAATTCTTCTGGCCCAAAAGAACATTTCCCACAGCATCGTCTTAAATCTTAATTACAGGTTTATGTATTATTCAGGCAATGCTAGAAACTCCGCTTTGGGATAGCACGATACCATTAGTCTTCATTCGCTCTCCTTGGGTTTTCCCTCTGACTTCCAAATAATGGCCCTTCCAGCCTCCTTGCCTCTTTAATTACACTTAGTTACAATCACCTCTTTCCTAGAGCACCAGACCTTCTCCGGCAAAACAGCCATGACTTCTCCAACGAAAGGGTTTGATCCCCTTCTGGGGCCCTTGCTGACAAAGACCAGGGACAAAAACAGGCTATTATTTATGACCCCCCCCCAAAATCCAGCAGAAAGAGTGAAAAAGGATCACCAGGTTAATATATAGTCCTCTTCTCCTTGTGATGCACACACGCACACACGCACACACACACACACACGCACACACACACACGCACACACACACGCACACACACACGCACACGCACACACACACACACGCACACACACACGCACACACACACACACGCACACACGCACACACACACGCACACACACACGCACACACACACGCACACACACACGCACACGCACACGCACACTTCGACTTTATCCAAAACCTAGGGTTTGAGTTAGAGTAGCTGACACTTGCCAAGTGCCTCCCACGTGGGGGTTGTCTGACTGCACGGCTGTGCCCCAGCGCTGTTCTGTGCAGTGCCTCAATGACTCCCCTCTGTGCTTCCGAAGTGCTCTGGGCACTGCATCCTCCATGTGCTATGAGATCTTTATGGATAGGTCTTTTTCCTCTTTCTTTATATGACAAGGTGTGATGAACGAACTTCCTGCCCCCTGCCCTCTCTTGGAAAAAGCCCTAAAATTAAAAGAATCTGAGACTTATGCCACTTCTCACAGGACACAAGAAGGTCAACCTAAGAGCCACTACTTCCATTTTGTTTTGTTTTGGGTGATGCCAGGCCTTCATCAGTACAGAAAATAGCCAAATACTTCTCAGTACAATTTTGGTTATCTATGGTTCCTAAAGGGCTAGGACAGGAACATGCTAACTAAAAGTATATTCTTTCCTCTTTCAGATTTATTTTTTTCTTTTTTGAGGTATGATTCGTATGCTGTAAAGTGTACGTTCTTAACTATACATCTAGATACATTTTTTACTTATGTATTCAACCTTTGTAACTACCACCCAGACCAAGATATAGAACATTTCTGTCACTCCAGAAAATTCCCCTGTGTCTCTTCCCAGTTCAATACCTACCCCAATGATAACCACTACTCTGAGTTTTATCATCATTGATTATATTTGCCTGACTGATTATATTTAACTTCATGTACATGGACTCACAGTATACACACTTTCGTGTCTGGTTTCCCCTGTTCAAAAAAAATGTTTTTGATATTTATCCACGTTATTGTGTATTTCAGTCCTTTCTTTTCTATTGCTTAGTAGTATTCCATTTTATGATTTTTTTTTTTTTTTTTTTTTGAGACAGAGTCTCACTTTGTTGCTCAGGCTAGAGTGGGCGCCATGGCGTCAGCCTAGCTCACAGCAACCTCAAACTCCTGGGCTCAAGCGATCCTCCTGCCTCAGCCTCCCGAGTAGCTGGGACTACAGGCATGCGCCACCATGCCCGGCTAATTTTTTCTATATATATCAGTTGGCCAATTAATTTCTTTCTATTTATAGTAGAGACGGGGTCTCGCTCTTGCTCAGGCTGGTTTTGAACTCCTGACCTTGAGCAATCCGCCCGCCTCGGCCTCCCAAGAGCTAGGATTACAGGCGTGAGCCACAGCGCCCGGCCTCCATTTTATGATTATACTACAATTTGCTTTTACATTCTTCTGTTGTTGGACATTTATGGTGTTTCCAATTGGGGGCTATTAAGACTAAAGACACTCTTTTATATGCCTTTTGGTAGATACATGTATACACTTCTCTTACCTAGAAGTAGAATTGCCAAGTCATAAAATAGGAGAAGATAGAAGTATGTTTAGCTTTAATAGATACCAACAAATACTTTTCCAATGTGGTTGCACCAATTTATGCCCCATGAACAATGTATGAGGGCTCCAGGTACTCTACCATCTCACCAATACTTTATGTTGGATATTTTAATCCTAGCCATTCTACTGGATTTGTATTGTGCCCTCATTGTGGTTTTAATTTGGGTTATATGTCTTATCATTATTGATTCATAGGTGCTTAATATCCACATATCTATACGCACTGGATATGAGTCCTTTGTCAGGTATATGTATTATAAATATCTTCCGCCATCTGTGGCTTTCCCACTCACTTTATTAATTATGTCTTTTGGTGAACAGAGGTTCTTAATTTTAATGAAGCCCAATTTATCTCTTTTCTCTTAATGCTTTTTGTGTCTTGTTTAAGAAATCTTGCCTATTCCATGATCATTTTAATTTGTTATATTCTAGAAGCTTTATTGTTCTGTCTTTCACATTCAAATCTATCATCCACTTTTAATATTTATGTGTGGTATAAGGTCAAGTTCACGATTCATGTTTTTTTTCCCCCAAAGATACCAATTTCTCTAGCACCATTTACTGAAAAGTGATTTTTGTCTCCACTGAATTACAATGGCACCTTTATTGCAAATCAAGTAACCAATCAAGTAATCAAATATACACGCACATCTATGGTTGGACCTTAACTGTTCTCCTGATCTATTTGTTTACCTTTGCATCAAAATATTATTTCCATGAGGTGGCATTAGCTTGTGTTTCTCTGATGAATGTAAATATTTACCTTTGCACAAATGCCCACTGCACGTCTGACCCTCACTGACTTTCACTGTGCAAAATATTCACTGTTGTCTCTCACCTCTAAACCCTCCCTTTACTCAGCTTTGTGACTCTGCAAACATTTCTCCTTCGCCAGCAGCTCCCTGTTAGGTTCTGCCAGCAAGGGTCCCTGGAGGGAGACTGTGAAGCTTGAGCAAAGACAAAGGACTTTCTCCTCCCTGTTTGTTTACTGCCCCTCTCCGGTTGCCCCTGCAATGGTTCTTTAAAGCAGCAGCGGTGGCAGTTGGCTTTAGCAGCAGTGGGTTCCAGTTTTGAGTCTGTTTCCACACTCTGAGTCAGCCTCAGCGCACTCCCTCAGAGATACCACCACCAACCAGGCGGCTCCCCCTTTGTCAAGGTCTGGGCCCCGCTCTGCAGGGCCCCAAATGCCAATCTTTGGGGTTCTATTAGCCACCCTCTTCCTCTTCATTTCTGGCCCTGGGGTGGCAGCTGTTTCCCGCAATTCCTATGGCCGTGTCCCCTCGGTGATCCCTGATTGTCTTTCAGTCCCCAAACCCCCGTTTTTTCTTTTGTCTATTAAAATACTTGGTGTCATGCCATTTGCCTAACCCTACCGTGACTTATTCACTCTCTAACAATTGAGGAGAACAAGAGAACGCACTCACCCTCCCTCCTGGACCTGGTGCCCCAGACCCCCTGGATTCTGTGCAACTGCCCAGAGATGAACACCCATGCTCGTCCTAAGCCCAGCCCTTTTGGTGCAACACCAGGAAACATCAAGACATAAACACTCCTTTGGAAAAGGATGGAGTCTCCCGAGGGATGCTGAAGTTGCTAAACTGAGATGCGCGTGTGTTGCCGGGAGGGGAGATCACATGCAAGAGAAGCTGGTCGGTGGTCGTGGAGGAAGTTTGCAAAAGGATGCTGAGCACGTGAAAGCCAAAAGCCTAAGGACATTCTCCCTTGTGCAATAAGAAGAAACATCTACACTACGTAACACTTCAACCATTGTCCCTCCTACTGTGCACTACCCTTTCACGGATGCCTAACCCTTCAAAGTTTTTCATGCACATAGACTTTGGTCTGGCAGATTCTCATACGCTGGTAGGACTGGAGGGGAGATGGGTCTACTCTGCCCCATTTCCCTCTTCTGAAAAACCTTATGAGTGACCATTAAATAGGAAATATCCTCTCGGCTCCCTTTTAAGAAAACAGAGAAGAGTGACTAATTGAAATAATCAATTACATGTAAATGACTATATCAGAGGAGAAATAAAACAATGATTAAAACAGTACTACTTTGGCATTTTCAAATTACCTAGCAATCACTTACCTACATGTTTAGGATTTATTCATTACGAAAAATAGTCAAGACTTCACAGGAATTGCTGCTTTTAGACGAGTTGCAGTGGTAACTACAGCACATACGTGGTTTTCCATAAATGTTTGCTGTATACCCGGAACTCAGACTACAATAAGAGATAAAAAACAATAAGAAGACAGAAAATAATACAAAGCATAGGCATGTATTTATATGTACTTTTTTTTTTCAGAAAAGGGCAACAGAATAGATAAAGCAGAAGCAATCACAGAAGAAAATGTTCCCAAAAAGAAAGTCTTGAGTCTGGAGATTAAGATGATTCAATAATGGAAAGCAATTCCTCAACCACAAAGAAGTGAACTGATAAAGTCATTAGAAATTTTTTAAAGTTCAGAAAGGTAACCAGTTACATATATAAAACACAATTACTTTCTTATAGAGGAAAGATAGCATGTTAGAAAATAGATGATTTTTTTTAAATTTCTGATTTAAATGCTCCCTTACAATTACACATAGCATACATTTAAAATTTAATTAAAATGACAGTAAATCCATACTAATGAAGATAAATCATAGCAGTAGTAAAAGTAAAAAATGTTTTGACCAGAAATGTTGATGGCTTTCTGGAAGATGAGAAGCAGAATAGATCATAATGACAGATAAGCCAGAGAAGAGAAAAACAAAACTCAAACTAAGGACAGAATGAGGCTTTAGCAGAGATGGGGCTCACTCCTACTAGGAAAGCTCCAGGGTTAAAATTGGCAAGAACAGAAGCCCGAGGAGCTGTGGGGCAGCATTTAGGGTAATTAACTAAAGGATTACCTTTGACAGCTAGGCCAGGCAGTCCATCCTCAGCTAGAACAGCTGGCTGCAGCACCTGCTCTCAGCCAGAACTCTGAGAACTCCATCCTAAATCTAAACAAAGGGAAAGATGCACTTGATTAGGTGTCTGTTATGGGCATGAGAGCCTGACCCAGCTCTTCCCAGGAGTGAAACACGCCAAAGTATACACCTCCCCCACTCTCCAACTGGAAAGTCATCCTCACTTAGCAATTGGGGTGGGAAGGTCTTCCACATACACCAGTGGGAAGTCCACCTACGAAACAGGACCTGCCCACTACTGCCAAGCCTAGAGCCTACCAGCCCCTGCGAGGGATAGGTATCTGGGTTAACATACTAGCATTGGTTTCCTGTTGTAATCAGTAAATCTTTCCTTCATAAAAATAAATGTACAACTGAGGATAAATAGTCATTTGAAGAAAATCAGTAGCCTGAGAGAGATATGACCAACCAAGTAAAACTACTGAAGAAAAATTTTACTAGATGCCTTAAAAGAACTGAATAAATGGAGAGATAAACCAAGTTAATGGAAGGGAAGATTCAATAGTTTAACCTTTTAATTCTCCCTCAAATAATGTATAAAACCAGGGCAATCACAATAAAAACCCAACAAGATTTGTCATGGGACACAATAAATAGATTTAAAAATTCACAGGAGAGTAATATGCCAGAATACTTTTGTCAATTTTGAAAAAGAACAAAAGAGAACTTTCCTACCAAATATCAAAATTTACTATAAAGACTTGATAAAACACTATGGTACTTGTCAGAAATGAGCAAATAAATAAATAGAAGAGAAGAGGTAGTTGGGAATTTAGTACATGACGAGGTGACATTTTTGTTGTTGTTGTTCATACAGGCTTTTTTTTTTATTTCGGCATATTATGGGGGCACAAACCCCAAGGTTTCAAAAAGTGCCCTTTCCCCCTCCCCCCAAGTCTGAGTTTCCAGCGGTGACATCCCCCAGATGGTGCACATCTCACTCATTATTTGAATGGAAAGAAAAGGACAAACTATTACATAAAAGTTACAGGACAGGGGGACAACCATTTGAGGAAAAAAATTAAGCTGATTTTTACATAATAATTCATAGCATAAATTCCACAGGGATCAAAGATTTAAATGTCAATAATAAAAACATAAAACTATAGAATAAAATGAATATTTTAATCATCTCAGGGTATGAGTATCTTTCTCGGAATGGCAGAGGAGTATTAAATAATTAAAGACTGGATATCATTTAACCTCAAATAAAAATTTATTATGCCTACAAAATTTAAAATTCAGGATTAAAAGCCAGGTTTTGAGAAAAAATTCCCCATACAACAAACAATTAGAGTGTGAACATATAAAGAATTTTTTCTACCAATATAATTTTGAATTGATTTTAATCATCAATAAATTAAAAGGGCAATGGAATATAAACAGATATAACCAGGAAAAAGATACAAAATTAAATATCATCCCTTTATTAAGCAAATTAAAACAATAACATTAACTAAAATCGAAAAGAATTAATAAATGCCGGCCCCTAACTGGCTAACATCTGGTAATCCCCTAGCAACTCTGGGGAAGGCTGCAGGGCGGCGGATTTGCGCTTGAAGATTCGGGAAGGTTTCGCAACCAGCCTGAGAGAAGACCCCATTCTCCTTAACTAAAAAATAGAAAAGAATTAAATTGAACCCAACTAAAAATTATTGGAAACAATTTTAGCCCTGGGCATGGGGGGGTGGAATGTCCCTGGTTATCCACCCCTTTACTTGGGAGGCCATGGAAGGCCCGTAGGCATCGTTTTTGAGCCCAGGAAAATTGGAGGTTGGCTTGTGACTAGGCCTGACAACCATGGGCAAACACTCACTTCTAGTCCCTAAGGCCCCAGAAACAAGGTGAGAAACTCCTGTCCTCTTGCCCTCTTTCTTTTGCTGGCTTTTTGGCAATATAACGTGAAAAAAATTGGTGTTGGTTTTATATGGCAAATTCCAAAAATCTAGATTTTTCCCCAAAAGAAACACAAAAAGAGTGAAAAGAATTTAATTGGGGATTTTCCGCATTTTTTAATAGTGGGGAAATAGGAAAATAAGAAGTCATGAGTTTAGGTCCCATTCAATAATTTAATATAACCATTTTTTAATAAACGTTCTGGTGCCAGCCTTTGCCTTTAAAAGAGGTAGAGTAGTTTCCCCATGCAGGTGGTTCTTCATCAGGGGGCCGATTTTGGCCCCACCTCAAGGAAGCCCCCACTTGGGGCAATAATCTTGGAGAACCCATTTTTTGGCACTTTGTCACTTGGGGGAAACGGGATGCCCTTACTGAAAACCTAGTGTGGGGTAGAGGTTAGGGGTTGCCTTGGAATAAAACCACCCCTCACAATACAGCAAGTCTCCACGACCACATTGTCCTGGGGCCCCCAACCGTCAATAGTGGCTGAGCCTTAAAGAAAAGAAAAAACCTGCCCTTCTCTAGGCCGGGCGGCTGTTGGCTCACCGCCTGTTTTTAACTCCTAAGCTCCTTTGGGGAAAGGCCCGAAAGGCCGGGGCCCGGATTTGGCTCCAAGGGTTTTCGGAGTTTTCGAACAGCCCTGAGCAAAGACGAGAACCCCCCGTCTTCTTACTATAAATAGAAAAGAATTTATTGGCCAATGATATATAAGTATACACAATTGCCTGGCATGGTGGCGCATGGCCTGTTAGTCACTTACGGAGGCCCTGAGGCAGAAGGTCCAAAACTCGAAGCCCAGGGGGGAATCCTGAGGTGCTTGTTGGAGCCCCTTTAGGCCCCAGAACGCCCACGGCACCTCACTCCCTACCCTGGCAACAAAGCCGAGAACCCTCCCTGGTTTAAAAAATAAAATAAAACATAATTCAAAAATTAATAAAAGAGCAAGAAACCCCCTGCTCTCCCATGGAGGCCCTTTAAGAAAAAGAATGTTCCAGGGTTAACCCAGCAGAGGGAGAAATAGGCCCAATTGCAGATCCAATAAAGTTATTACTTTATGATTGGGCAATATTTTTTTTTGTAAACTTTACATATTTGGGTAGTAATAATTAATAAAATGTTGCTTGAAAGTAAATTAAGCTTCAAAGAAAATCTATAGAATGTTTTTACCCAACTTCATAAACGTATATACTCCCATGGTTAAGGCCTGCCTACATTAATGACTTCTGACATCATCTTCTCTTCTCTTCTCTCCTCTCCATTCTTAATCTAACTCTTCGTGCCTCCTGGGCCAGATGCCCAAGAGGGTAAATTTTTTACAATTTTTTTCCTGAAACTTGATAAATTTTTTAGAAAAAAAAGTTAATTCTGAAAATTTGCTTTCAGAAGATATTATCATAAGAATAGAAGAAATTTTTTTTAAAAAGATGTTTCTAAAAATTTTGTCACAAAGAGACCTTAGACTCACTTTTAATAGGGGTAGCTCCTACTCAAAGAGAGTTTTATGCTTTTGCTATATAAATCATTCTAGATAATAGAAAAAGTGAAGAACTCCCCAATGAATTATGCAAAAGTAGCATATTCCTGATACAAAATTTGACAAACTAGTATGGAAAATAAAATTACATCAGTCTCTCTTATGAATATGTATTCAATAATTTTAAATAAAGTCGGTATAATTATAGTTTAATAATTCAAAAAATTCACTAAGTCCAAATAAGAATATACCACGTCAAAATCAAGACTTTTTTTTTCAAAAAATGGCCAAATCAGTTTTATTGCAAGAATGTAAGAGTGATTTAACATGAGAAGATACATTAATGTAATTCGACACATACTAGAAATTAAAAAAGAAAAACTTTGTCTTTCTAAACAAGTACAGAAAAGATATTTGATAAAACTCAGCTGTCAGTCCTTATTTTAAAAAAAATTTTTAAATCTCTTAGTAAATTAGATCCAAAAGGATATTTCAAGCACCCAGCAGAATGCCACAATGTTGTAAGAATTCAATAAATAATTATCAAATGATTGCATAAACAGTAATTCTTTCATTTGATAAGGAATATTTACCTTAAACCCAAAGCATTTTTTTTCACTTAATACTCTAACCTCAGATGCATTTTCTTATAAGAGATTAGAAGAAAATTGCTTATTCTATAGTTATTAATATTTACCTCTCAAGATAACAACAACAACAAAAAAATTAAAGGCATAAGTATCTATTTTAAAAGAGGACAAAATGACTATTATTGGCAAATGATCTGATTGTCTCCCTAGAGATTTCTATCTTCCTCTTTTTCAGTGCCCAATCCCCCACCATCACCAACACCAAATACCCACACACAGAAAAACCATCACAGGATAGAAAGAAAACCATTCAAGCCCATCAGTATTTAAAAGCCAAATCTTTAACACTGTCTCCATTTGTAGTCTCTTATCCTTTGCTTCCCATCAGTGTCCCCAAAATTGCCACTGTGCCTCTGAGACAACAAACTACCTTCCTATCTCACTTCAGTCATTTCTCTTCTGTACTGAACAATCTGACTCTCAGATCATTTCTATCAATTTTTTTTTTTTTTTTTCCTGTCTCACTCTGTTGTCCGGGCTAGAGTGTCAAGGCGTCAGCTCAGCTCACAGCAACTTTAAATTCCTGGGCTCAAGCAATCCTCCTGCCTCAGCCTCCCGAGTAGCTAAGACTACAGGCATGTGCCACCATGCCCGGCTAATTTTTTCTATATATTTTTAGTTATCCAGCTAATTTCTTTTTGTTTTTAGTAGATATGGGGTATCGCTTTTGCTCAGGCTGGTTTTGAACTCCTGACCTTGAGTGATCCTCCCACCTCTGCTTCCCAGAGTGCTAGAATTTCAGGCATGAGCCACCATGCCGCACCTATTGTTTTAAACTAGTAAAGCAAAAAGCAAAGTATTCTACCCACCAATAGTAGGTGAAAGTCTTCCTGATGGACTGCAAACAGATCCAAAAGTGCAAGTCCTTTTGTCAGGGCACAGTCTGCCCTCGGTTCTTGGTGTGCTCTTGGCCAAAAAAATGACCAAAATGTCAAGTCTAGACTATTATCTTGAAAAAAGTCACCAGCAGGGCCAATATGTTGGAACAAATCACTAGCAGAGCCA